TGGAGAAGCGCAGCAGGGTGCGCATGCTCTCAGTGAGTTCGTCGGTCTGCTTCGGGTCGTCGATCCGCTTTTGGGCTTTCTCGTAGCTGAAGGCCTCGCGGGACCGGATCACCGATTTGGTGAAATCGGCGGACACGACCTCCGCGTTGGGGGTCATTTCCCACAGGACGGAGAAGGCGTACCGCTCCACGTAGGGTTTCAGGGAGCACAGATCGGTACCGAGCAAGTGCGGCAACATGTCAATACGTTTGTCGACAAGGTACACCGTGGTTCCACGCTGCGAGGCCTCGAGGTCCATCGCGTTGTTGGGCTTGACGAAATGTGAGACATCGGCGATGTGAACACCGACTTCGAAGTTGCCATTCGGCAATGGTCGTGCGTGCAGAGCGTCATCGATATCCTGACAGCCAGGGGGGTCGATACTGCAGATAAGAAGGTCTCGAAGATCCCTCCGCCCCTTCCAGCCAATGTCGTCTTTGCTCGCGGGCACTCTCCAGTCATGACCCTCCGCAGGGAGGCAGTCGAGGACGGCCTTGGGGAAGGGCTTGTACTGAACGTCATATTCAAGCAACAAGGCCTCCGTCTCGGCTCCCTTGGTTTCCAGTTCTCCCAATGACCGGATGAAGTGTCCAGTGGGGTATCGTGAATCGCGGTCCCAAGCGTCAATAGTGACCAGGATGCGTTGGCCCATGAGATCGGCAGCTTGTCTAGTGCGCAGTCTGATCTTTGGCACACGCTTATCCATGGGCAGAACGAAGACATTTTGCTGTCGTCGACTCGAGCTGGTCTGGGAACCTGCTGATCCTGAATCGACATGACCGACATATTGCCGCCAGTTCCGCTTCATCACACCAACAACCTTGGCCGTTGGCTGTGGTCTACCCTCTGAGTTCTTTCCATGGGCTTTCTTGACTTCCTCCTGCAACGCTTTGCGCTCTCTTTCAGTAACAACCGCCTCGTTGTCCTCGGCATCTGGGTTGTCATTCTTGGTCACAGCTTCCTCGTCCACAAGCTTGGTCGATGGTGTCTTCCATTGATCCTTAGGCAGCACTTCAATCACAACGACATCTCCAGAAATAGCTCGGTTGCTGTTGTCGCGGCCAAGGATCAGTAGAGGCTTGTCAAAGGCTGGAACGTTAACTGAGCCCTCCAAGTAGTTGTACGGCGAAACGTTGAAAACACCCTGGTGCAATGTTCCCGCCCTCAGGCCCGTCTGGAGTTTCGACATGGTGTAGTATTCGGGGTAGAAGAGCTCGCCGCGTGCGCCCTTGGCTTCTCTCGCCTCCCTCGACTCGTTGATCATGTCCAGTAACCTGTCGGAATCCTCCAGACCCGAGACGTAATCCGTCAGTGACAGCGCGGTAATGTTCTCTTCCTTCGACTTCCGCAAGTTCTCCTTGTCGTCGGTAATGACCACGATCGCCGGGATCGAACGCTCCTTCTTGGCCTTCTTGGCCGTCGACAGCAAATGTCCCATGTACCACTTGGCCACGGCTCGAACGGCTCGGTCATTCCGGTCGTTGATCGACTCGTCGGGGCCACGTCGAACATGGGTCTCCAGGCGGAACTCGTTGAAGAATAGATAAAAGCGCTTCTCGTCGGTTTTGATCAGCGCAAGCAAACGGTTGTAGAGGGGGAGGGACTGGTTCCGCAGCTCCTCGAGGACGGTCTGTAAAATGATGACATCGTAAAAGGCTCCGGTGTGTTCGAAAAGATCCATTCCATTCAGCAGCGCATTCGTATCAGGAACGAGGTAATGGCCACGAGGGAAAGCTTTGGTGCCCGCGGGTTGTTCGGAGAGGACGAACGGCGTAACTAAGAGATTAATTCGTCGCATTAGCCAGTTTCCACCGTCAATCAAGGGCCGCAGGTCTCTTGCTCACTGTTTCCATTCGCATCCGCAGGCGCAACTGACGGACACACCGTGCAAAGCTTCGACGAGCATGGAATATCCTGTCTCAGATAGAGCTCGCGAACGATCTTTTGCACCTTCCCACTTTTCGTGGACCGGACGAAGATTTTGCTGGTGACATTTTGAGCCTGCGGGTTCGAGGAGAGATCTCTTCGTAAGCTCTTCATTCTGTCTGGGTCACAGCTGCGCTTGTGATCAGCGCTGTGTATCGAAGCGACAAAAATGTTAGATGGTTGGTTGGTTGGTGGTGGCTGTCGGCGGAGGTTCGCCCAGTTCTGCGGATTTGAAGCGGGATGGCAATGTCGGCGCCCGGATCGGGAAAGTCTGCCGACGTAATTGCGGGCAGCATCTACTAAGCGATGCCGTGATAAGAAGACATATTCCATCACTCTCCCACTTGACGCATATTGTTGTTTGTACTTGTCTACGAAGTTTCGGATTCTGATAGTCGGCTGAATATGGTTCTTGCAGTAGGCTCTTAGTTTGGCTCTTCATGTTTTCTATCGCATCACTTCACTGATACATGTGCCTTGATGCTATAGGCTGTTGGTCAACTATGCTCGACTGCGAGTCTGGCAGCCAATCTGGCACAATGCCAAACGCTGGTTCGCAAAGCAGCTGCAGCTGGTGCAAAAGTAAGACCAACAGAGATACATCCTGATACTGCGTGTTAATATAAGCTATGCCAGGCATTGTTTCTCCCCGAAGCCTCAGATTACATTGGTTCCTCGCCTGCCGAGACGATATCTCTTGCGCGCTCCGTGCAAGATAGTGAATTCGTCCTAGGTCTACAGAAAGAGGCTCAATTAGCCAAGCTTCATATCAATGTCGGAATTCATGAACCGGCATCTAATGATAGGACGAAGAACACTCTCATCTGGATCGATGATAAGGGTTCCATAATACAGCGCTACCAGAAGGTTCACCTGTTCGACGTCGATATCAAAGGTGGCCCAGTGCTGAAAGAGAGCGCGTGGGTGAATCCTATAGTTGCTGCTAGCTGAACCCATCTCACTGACATTCAACGTACAGGAGTGTTGAAAAGGGCATGGAGATCTTGCCGCCATTCGAGACGCCCATTGGGCGCGTGGGCTTATCTATCTGCTTTGACGTAAGTCATATGCCGTTACCTTCGACTCAAGTTCATCTCGACTGACAAACTTCACAGTTGCGCTTCCCCGAGCTCAGTCTGGCTCTCAGGCGACAGGATGCCCAGATCATCGCCTACCCATCCGCCTTTACGGTCCCAACTGGTAGAGCGCACTGGGAAACACTTCTGCGGGCTAGAGCTATCGAAACTCAGTCATATGTTGTAGCAGCTGCACAGGCAGGACCACACAACGAGAAGCGCGTCAGCTATGGCCACTCGTTAATTGTGAATCCGTGGGGTGAAGTGGTAGCGAGTCTCGGAGATGAGTATGAGGAACCGCAAATCGCTGTTGCTGACATTGACTTGGAGCTTCTTGCGAAGGTTCGAAGGGAAATGCCCTTACTCAGACGTACGGATATATATCCGCAGGTATAGCCCTCGAAAGCAACCTTGTACAGAAGGGATGGCCTCACATCTATTTGTCTACTAATCGTTGAAAGCATGGTCCACGGCTGAGAGATTTCCTTACCACTCGTAGAAGGTATTATAATGACTGCATAACTTGATTGTGATCAAAAAGTCTTGATTTATTTTCTCTTCCGCTCCTAAGTTCATAAAGCGAGCCAATGAAAGGATATAAGACGACAAGACACACGCAGGTAACAGGAAAGAAAGGAAAGAAAAGCGAACAGTGAAATGGAAAACCCTGTCTAGGATCGGACCGGAATGTGCCTGATAACACGTGTAACCATTCAATCAACAACCGTCTTCCACGCCCGGCCAATCTATGTACAAAGTACAAGGGAGAAGTTGGACTAGTGCGCTTTACTTGCGCTGGGCCTTGTCGGGGTCCTCCAAGATGCCCTCGGCCTCCAGCCGCCGGCGAGCCTCCTCGAGAGCCCATGTTTGTATCCTAAAAATAACGGTCAGCAAGGAAAGAGCAAAGTGACCGTGTCAGCATAGCTCCGTGTGACAAGGAAGCTAGCCGCGGAGCCTGGGGAAATGGGCGAGGGTTGGACGCACGAGGTGTCGGGCTTGAAAACATATGCGACGCCGGTGACTAGCAGACTGCCGATGAATCCGTAATACCAGATGTTCTCCCAGCCTTCCTTCTGATATTTCTGGCCAGGCTTCAGGCCAAAGAGGTATCCAGTCGGGGGATCATAGTGGTCACCGTGGTCGGCGGCACGGAGGTTGCTGCGGGTCGAGAAAGCCTGGACATTCTGAGCCCGGAGGGCAGAGCACCGGGCGCGAAGGCAAGACGACAGTGGGCGAGCAGACATTGTGAATGTGGCGTATAACTGTTGAGGTGTAGGAAACCTCAAGCTGGACAAGATGGGACAGGCGGTGGCGGGTGAGGATCCCTGTCTGAGGCAATGAAGCAGGGGCTGATGGCACGGAACACCGATTTCAACAATCCGGTCGACCAGCGATGGTAATAGTCGGGTCAATTGAGCGACTTCAAGATCGAATTCTTTCGTCGGAGCGGTAGGAGGAGCTAGGTGGAGGGGTGACGAGTCGGTCGAGCGGTTGATGTTCAGAAGCCGCAAAAGGCCGATGACTTGCTGGGGTCATAGCCACTAGTCCCAACTGGGCAAATTTCCTGGACCGCCTTTCTGCCTGGGATTACAGGCAAACAATCCATAGCCCACAGATACACCTGAGGCAGGAACACTCGACGCGCGACGCGTTGAGGACTAATGAGATCGATCGGCTTATCGCATCGTGCGTGCATTTGAGCTGCCATTCATTACACATGCATTTACCAAGTTATGTTGAGCCTGTTTCGACTGCTCCAGTTCTTGCCCTCTTCTACCAATTTACTCAGCAAGAATCTATCAATTGCCCATTGAATGTAGGTACAATCAACGACTTTGTTTCCGCGCCATCCATCGTCATCCAGCGCTCCGCTCCGTTGCTAAAGATATTGTACAGACTTCCGTGATCGCGATGTCGGCTTAATCTCCGACTCCACGATCACAACCAGCAATAAACACCATGAACAGACCCCCAGGAGCGTACAAAATCTCTTCGCAGTCTCACTCGAAATTGAACGCTTTTCGATACAGCAAAGACGCACAAAACCCAGAGAAGACCCCTCAGAAGACGGCAACCACAGACCATGCCAACAAGGAGAATCAAACATCGTGGCTGAATGGTGTGGTGGAAAAACAGCAACCAGAATCGGAAATCAACCCACCTACGATCGAAGTAACTGAATCGAAGCCTATCAAAGAATGTCCCCAAACACCAGGAAATCGAATACCACTCGCAGATCTAATCAGCAATGCCGAGGATGCTTTCAATAGTGCCCCGGGGCAAGAGTTTACGCCCGAAGACTACGTCACCTGGCAACATGTCCCTGCGAGCTCCAATGCCGATCCAATGTCGCAAACACCTGCATTGCACGGCAAGAAGCGTCGCCGCAACTCGTCGCCAACGAGCTCCCCTTTGGCAGCAACCTCGAAAAGCAAGCGGAGAGAATCGATTGACTTGCCAAACGACCAATCCTTGATCAGAACGCCCCAGCATGACCTTGCCACCGAACTATGGAACAACTATGTGGGCAAGTCCCTTGCCAATGGTACTGGCGAACTTGCTCAACCACGATTTGCGCATTTGCTTTCATCTTCCCCACAGACACCTGTGTCAGCCCGAACAGGCCGAGGCTCTTCCGGGCTGAGACGGTCGAATAGCTGCAATGCCGAGTGGCCTACTTCCAAGGCGAAGCGGAGAAGAGTCGATAACGAAAGGTTCGGTACCGGTCGCAGCATCTTCTCTAGGACAAGGAGCAATGTCGTGGATTCGGGCAACAATCAAGCCTCCAACCTCAGCACTCTCGTCAAGCAGATGGAGAAGACTCTGCAAAAAGTTCCTGAAAGATCATTTGCGCCAGACTCTTCTCCAGTCCCAAAGCGCGGTAACACATCCAAAAGTCATCTGGCGTCCCCAACAGAAGGCAGAAGTCCTAGCTGCTCTCCTAAGAAGACCGAGGACGCGATTGTTCCCGTTGGGGCTGGGACCGCGCCGCAGACTACAGAATTTGTCGACGACTTGTCTTCGGACTATGGAGATGATGACTTCGATGATGACTTTCTTGAACTTGCAGAAGCTTCAATGGATCCTTTCGTGGATCCCAACCCGTCGCGCGATGTTGCAGAGGATATTCAGCCTGCCACGTCGACATCAATGCCGCCGAATGGAGGGGCTCCCCTCCTCCAGAAGAGGGTGACTTTTGCTGCTACCAGCACAGCCACTTCAAAAGTGGATGCGGCCATGACAAATGACAACGAATTCGAACTTAACGGTGATGAATTCGATGATGACTTTGATGACTTTTCCGACAATATAGAAGATCTTCTTGCCGAGTGTGATAAGGCACCAAGCGTGAAACTTGCAAGGCCCATACCCAAAGGGCCAAATGTGCCGGAACAGCCACTGTCCGGCACTGGACCTCAGCGCTATTTTGCGTCGGCAGTTGGAACACTTAATGAGACGAAAAAGGACCCTGATATTTCCTCTGGTGATGAGTTTGACGATGGTAGCTTAGACATGGATGCTATCGAACATTCTATGAGGCAATCAGGAGTAGATGGAACGGATCATGTTTGTCTCTCCTAGTGAATCAATGCTCGTTATCAATATGCTAAGTATGCCTTCTCTAGAACCTTAGAAGTCGACAAGCTATCAAGCGCTATTTGATTGTTGAAATTGCGGAGTCAGCGTATACCAACCCCAGAGGACGTGTTCAACCCGAACAGGTCAGCCCACTGCACGCCCTCAATGCCCCCACCCATTATTGACACTAACAACAGGTGCTCCTCGTACAAGCTGAGCGGGCCAAGGAAGACAAGAAAGTGGTTATTCTTCGGGAGTCATGGTTCGATAGCCCGTGTACGAAGGAATCCTATATTCACCTGATCGGAGAATTTGACGCCAGGGGTCAATGCGTAGTTGACGATACTGCTAACATGGTGATACTTCATCCGGATCATCTAGTATCGGCGACTATCGTGGCCGACTCGATCACTTGCCAGCGTCGTGCTGCTCTTCAGGAACGCATTAAAAACACAACCGATGTAGGAAAAGCACAGGTCTTTGGCAACATATTCCACGAGCTGTTCCAAGAAGCTATCAAGGTTAACCGATGGGATACGGCTTCGTTAAGGCTACTGGTGGAGGATGTGATCGTCAAGCGGATTGAGGATCTATACCTGATTCGCATGACTGTCGCGGAAGCCATTGAGTATGTTATGAGCAGAGTTCCAGGCGTGCAGGATTGGGCACAACGCTTTCTCCAGCCGAAGCCAAGCGTGAGTGCAGCCTTCCCTCGACCGAGGCGCAATACTGACAGTTGAACATAGGGGAAATCGATCGTCGAGGATCGACATAACTCCAAGCTTAGCTTGAGTGTAAATAAGCTTCTCGAAGTTGAAGAGCATATTTGGTCTCCGATGTACGGACTCAAAGGCAATATCGATGCCACGGTTCAGGTTGCCTGCTCAGAGCAAGGGCAGGATAAGACATTGCTCGTACCTCTCGAATTGAAGACGGGAGATAGAGACACAAACCAAGCTCATCGGGCTCAAACCGCACTTTACACACTGCTTCTCTCGGATCGCTATGGTAGGCTGGAACACCTATAGATTTTCATGAATCCTGATCTTGAATTTGACCGCTCACTATCCTTTTGCTAGACATCGATTGCACATTCGGCTTATTGTACTATCTTGAAACATCGAAGGTTTTCCGAATTCGTGGCATCCGACATGAGCTTCTTCAAATGATTCAACAACGAAACCGTGTGGTCGGGTACATGCGCCAAAGAACCCAGCTGCCTCCAATGGTCAAGAAGGCCGCATTTTGTAACAAGTGCTACTCGAAGACAGCTTGCTTCATCTACCACAAGCTTGCTGATAACGGTGATGGAGAAACGAGTGGTCTTGGTGACGATTTCGTTAAAGCTACCCAACACTTGAATCCACAACACCAGGAGTTCTTCAAGAAATGGGATGAATTGTTAACAAAGGAGGAACAAAGCATGATCAGGTTCAAACGCGAGCTCTGGACACTCTTGAGTAGTGAGCGCGAAGCTCTCGGCCGCTGCTTTGGCAATGTTGTGATTGATCCTGATCATACCTATGAAGATAAAGATGGACCCAAGATCAACCGGTTCCGATACACTTTCCGCAAGAAGCAAGCACCTCCGGGTTTCTCCTTCACTGAATCCCAGCTGAGCATAGGCGAGCCCATTGTGGTTTCCGATGAGAGAGGTCACTTTGCCCTTGCAAATGGTTATGTCGTTCAGGTTAGCGCGAAACGCATCACCGTCACGGTTGATCGAAAGCTCCACGGTAGGACGCGGATGAAGGGCTTCGATGCCGAACACAACCAGTCATTCAAAGGCATCATGGAAATACTCGAAGAAGGTGTCTCTTCCCCGCCAGTCGAATTGGACGAAGAAACTGTTTATCGCCTAGACAAGGACGAGTTTAGTAACGGCATGGCAATTGTCCGCACAAACCTTGTTTCCATGATGGAAAAGGACCTTTTCCAAGCCAAGCAGTTACGAAGACTGATTATTGAGGGTGAAGCCCCCTCCTTCAAACCCATGGAGTCAGGCTATATACTCCCTGGTGTTGAAAAGGCGAACTTGAACATCGACCAGAAACAAGCGATCGACAAAGTCATGAGTGCCCGAGACTATGCGTTGGTACTTGGAATGCCTGGAACAGGGAAGACGACGACCATTGCCCACATAATTCGCGCATTAGTCGCGCAAGGGAAAAGTGTTCTGCTCACCTCTTACACCCATACTGCTGTTGACAATATTCTGCTGAAGATCCGGGATGACAACTTCCGCATTCTGCGGGTCGGGGCTCCTACGAAGGTGCATCCAGATGTGCAGCAATTTGCTGACCTCGCGGCCATCCCGAAGAAAACCATTGAAGAGCTCAAGGCGTCGTACGAAGAATCCCAGGTGGTGGCAACGACCTGCCTCGGGGTCAGCCACAGCATCTTCGGCCAGAGAATCTTCGACTATTGTATTGTGGATGAAGCATCGCAGATCACACTACCTGTGTGTCTAGGCCCGATCCGAATGGCAAGGACTTTCATCCTTGTCGGTGATCACTATCAGCTACCGCCGTTAGTGCAGAACAAAGAAGCTCAAGAAGGGGGTCTTGACGTCAGTCTTTTCAAGTTACTTTCCGATGCCCATCCAGAGTCGGTCGTCAACCTTGAGCATCAATACCGCATGTGCGAAGACATCATGCTTCTTTCCAACAACCTCATATACTCAGGCCACCTCAAGTGCGGTACCCCGGAGGTTGCAGTACGCTCTCTGAAAATCCCGAATATCGACGGGATCAAGCAGCATCATCATGGCCAGATCCCCCAGTCTCCAAATATGAAACAGATCTGCTTGGGTACAAGCCAAGGCCGCTGCTGGCTGCGTGATCTCGTCGATCCGTCCGCCAAAACCCGCCTGGTCAACACAGACACACTTGCCGCGCCTGCGCTGGACGAGACCAACGGCTCCCGGATCGTGAACCCGACCGAGGCCAAGCTCTGTACCCAGCTCGTGGAGGCATTCATCTCCTGCGGCATCCCTGCACGGAGCATCGGCGTCATCACATTCTACCGCAGCCAACTGTCCCTCCTCAAGCTCAACCTCAGCCGCTACCTCCCGGACCTCGAGATGCACACCGCCGACAAGTTCCAGGGCCGGGACAAAGAGATCGTGATCCTGAGCTGCGTCCGGAGCAACGTCGACAACCACGTCGGCGACCTCCTCCGCGACTGGCGCCGCGTCAACGTCGCCTTGACCCGCGCACGCACCAAGCTGCTCGTGGTCGGCAGCAAGAGCACCCTGCGCGACGGCAACGAGCTTCTCGGCAAGTACGTGAAGCTGGTCCAAGACCGCGGGTGGATCTACGACCTGCCGAAGAATGCCCTCGAAAATCACCTCTTCGAATCCGACAACTTCATGGGCTCAACGCAGGCTTCGTCGGTGCATGGAAGAGTAGCAACAACGCCAAGCCCGACCAAAAAGAACTCCCCTGTTTCTGCTGCTGCTGGCAGGAAGTCCGGCGTCCGCAAACCGCTGAGTCCCGTGCAGGCACGACTCACGCCCCAGGGTCTGAGGAAACCGGCCAAGAAGGGGGCGAAATTGATGAGCGGCAACAAGGTCCTTGGAAATCGACCGGTTCTGCAGGATGTGGTCAATGACCTTGTCGGGTGATTGATTTGTGTTTTTGTAATATGCATTGGTTTATCGAGAGATATCATCTGAGCGTTGGGGTTTGTGTTGGGTATGATTTAGGGAATGGGGGGTTCATGGATTGTATTGGGAAGTACTGGTGTTATTTTCCTTTGAATTTCTTTTTGGGTATGATGTGCTATCACCTCCTCATCATCGGCATGTGTCAGATATCGTAGTGTCATTCATCTCTATACATGCAGAATAAACCTTCTTGTCTGAGTGTACAGTACAATTCTCCAACACAGGGGGGTATAATCAACTACACTCTTCCAACAGGTATCCAGAAAACCAACCCCGCTACGTTACTGTAGAACCGACGCTCCCACAAACTCCCAACTGACAAAGTGCCGCCCCAACCGCCGAGCAGCCGCAATGGCATCCTTGCCAACCTTCTCCTCATCCTCGGGCCCCGAAGGCGCAGCAGCAGCCATCGTCAACGCCGGAAGCACCAAAAGCAAATACCCATCCCGGGCCTCGACCGCCTCCCGGCCCAGCGCATTCGCTGAGATGGCGAACCAAGCGGATGCTGCCGCGGAGCCACCGGCAGCCGTCTCCCGCCTACCACCATGGTATCAGTAGTCGTTTCTTTACAGTGAGTGGGGGAGTGGGGTAATCCAGAGAAGACGCACAGTAACTGAACCAGCAACCCCACGATCCATTTGGAAGGGATCAGGCCGCGCCACCGTAGCGACACGAGGTCGGTGGGTTGGGCCTCGTCCGCGTCCGGCACGCAGTAGCGGCTCAGGTACGGATCCACGTCGTCGGCGGCGGTGACGCGCGGCGAGCCGAGGGAGACCATCGCCAGCCATTCGGAGACCTCGGTGCATTGGTTTTGCAATTCCGCTTGGTGGGTAGCGGCTGCGGCTGCGGTGGAGGAGTCCTGAAGTTTGAGGGTGTCGAGAGGCGGGACGAGGATTTGCGGGTGTTCGGTGATGGCGGGCGAGCAGGGGAGGATTTGCGGGTGGTTGCCTTTGAGGGATAGGTCGTCTGGTGCTGGTATGTTAGCTTTGCGGAGTGCTGTATACGTCGAGGGTAGGGTTCGGTTTTGGGAGAAGGGTAATGGGGGTTAGGGGTACCGTCGGCGATGCCATTTGTCTCGGATGAAAGATCGAAGAAGAGCCAGGCTACGGACTGGGTAAGGACGTTTTGGAAGGCCCACTCAATCCGCTTGAAGCCCTTTTTGCCGTGGAGCATCGATGGTAAGCGGAGGTTGAGTTCGATGACTGGTTCGAGGGTTAGCTTCTGTGGTTGGTTGGCATTGGAAAGAGGGGGGGGGGGGGAGGTGGGCGTACTGTATCGCTCTTTTGCGTGTTTCCTGCCGCCGCTGCGGATGGGCTTTCCTGTCAAACCGGTCCGCTCGAAGATCTCCCTGCTGAGCTCGAGTTTCAAGATGCCTGGGGATCTGGTTAGGGAACTTTGTTCATGCGTTGGACTAGATTGAGCTGCTGGGAGGCGGGGGCACCATCTCGGAGCGTGAAGACACTGTCTGAGCCTGATCGGCCCTCCGATATCATAAGAATGTTTCCTGCGAAAGAAAGATGTCAGCACCATCAGGTCACCGCTGAGTGATCTGTGAAGCCAGTGAGGTGCACCTTTCTTGATGTAGGTGTTGAAGAATTCCGTCTCCAGTAGAGACGACAGGGACATGAAGACCCGCGCATAGCGGAGCTTCTGTAGTTTACTGTCCAAGGATGCTTGGATGGTTGTGTATGCCTCCTTGGGTAAAGTGACTTCGACCTGGTGGTATTGTTAGTAAGGCTCTATGGTATTGTGGGCCAACATACAGTATGGACGAAAGGATGGCCCAGAATGGCCGAGAACGGGACTTTTCTTGTCGGTGGCTGTTTAGGATCGATGAATGGCGGCAGTTGTCCTAGGCTGGTGAAGCACTTTTCGCGCCTGGACGCATCATCGTTGAATTCTAGCATAACGAGGGAAACTTAAAGAGACGAGTTGAGAGCGATTCTTGTTGTTTGGCCTTGGAATTGTTCAATACGTTCTTCCTTAAGCACGACTGAAAAAAGTTCGGATGCGAACCAGCCCGGAGAGTTTTATCGGTCGCTTCAGTTTCGCTGGTACACAAGGTCACAGAGATAAGCTGCTATACTGCTATACAGCACCTATTAGTTGTACCAGTAGCAGTGAGATCAACCTGAAAGTATTGTACCGTGGCTTTTTTGTACTATTGGTTGGGGATCCAAGTATATCTTATGGAGAAGGGATTCAATGGCCTTGCCGGTCACCTGACCTGATTCCGCTGTGGACTATCGAGTACATACGAATGGGATTGTGTAGGAACTATTTTGACAGAAAGGAGCTTGTCGATGGTCAGTAGCCTGAGATGAGCTAGAATCCTTGAGTTCCCCTGCGATTGGATCAATAGTGAAGAAGAGCACAAGCTGCAGTCCCAAGAACATAGACTGCATTCGCATACTATAATGAGACAGCTCCGGGATCCGACCAATCACCGAGATGCGTAGGAACTGGAACTCCGCGTCGCGGCACTTTCAAGCTCACTTTCCAGCTTTCCATCCTCTTCTGCCAACCCTCCCACTCTCTCAGTTCCATTTAATCTAGTTCAACTGAATTCCGCAGCCCCTTTCCTGATCGCTCCTCTAATCCCGTGTGTGAATTCCACCTCAACCTCAACAAACAGCCCCTCGGGGCTTCTCATCGGATTGGCAGCCCGCCGCAATCGCAAATCTGCCAGTGCCCGCACCGCAGCAGCAACCACAGCAGCACCGCAGCACCGTCCAATCGCGCAATGGCGCCCCCTCCCCCTCGCCGGAATCTACTCCCCAAAGACCGATTTGCCTTCAACTTTGGGAGTCTAAAGACTCAGAATTACCATGATCCTGTTGCGCGTGGACCGGGATCTCATACGTGCGTGTTCCGCTCCGCTCCCCCCCGCGACGACGACATGAAGCAATGAAAGCATCATGGATCCAGGATTCCTACTGATACGAGCCGACTACGGTTGAACACACACACAGTATCCGAACAATCGCCTGGAACCCCACGGGCCAGCTAGTTGCAACTGGGTCCGCCGACCGCACCCTCCGAATCTGGAACCCCGAACGCTCGCAAGTCAAATACTCCACCGAATTGCGCGGCCACACGGCCGGTATCGAGAAGGTCGTCTTCAACCCCACGCGGGACTCGGAATTGGCCAGCTGCTCGACGGATGGCACGGTGCGGTTCTGGGATGTGCGGTCCAAGACATGTGTGAGCCGGCTGGACGTGGGCACGGAGGCGTTCACGCTGTCCTGGTCTGCGGATGGGAGCACCCTTATCGTGGGAAGAAAGGTTGGTATAGCCCTGCAGCAGCAGCAGCAGCAACAACAACAACATCCACCCCGACTTGCTGACGAGTGCATCGATTCTTAGGACGACACCCTCATCCCCATCTCCATTGAGTCCCTCTCCACGCCGACGCCGACGCCCACCCTCCTGACCGACAAACCCCCCGCAGCAACCACAACCACCCCTCCCACAAGCATCTACCGAGCCCTCGAACCCCACCAACAACCCGTGCAAACCAACGCAACGACCTTCTCGCACCACATCGCCACGGCCGCCGCCCCGGACCTACACCTCTTCGCGACGACGGGCGAGGGGACCGTCAAGATCCTCTCGTACCCGAGCTTCTCCCTGCTGCACACCCTGCACGCGCACACGTCGGCCTGCCTGTCCATCGCCCTGGCGCCGACGGGCCGCTACCTGGCCGTCGGCGGCAGCGACGCCCTGATCTCGCTGTGGGACACCACCGACTGGATCTGCCGCCGCACGGTCTCCAGCAGCAACGGCGGCGCCGTGCGCGGCGTCAGCTGGAGCTTCGATGGCCGTTTCCTCGTCGGCGCCTGCGACGAGGTCGGCTGCGGCGGCAACGGGCTCGAGGTCTTCCACGCCGAGACCGGCGAGTCCGTCTACACCGTCCCCGTCGGCGGCAATGCCAACTCCGGCATCCCCGCCGTCGCCTGGCATCCCTCGCGGTACTGGCTGGCGTATTCCACCACCGCCGATGGCAGTGGCCATGGTGGGTTGAGGATCGTGGGGGCGGCTGGGGGGAATCTGTAATATCAAGGTGTTGTTGTTGTTGTTGTTGCTGCTGCTGCTGCTTCCCCGGCAAAAGATGAATCTTATGATGTTGTGTTTGTCGAGAGACAATGTATGATGTCCTTTCCACCGTAAAGGGTTATCGTGTGCAACCCCGGTGGTCATCCATTTTCAGGCGTTTTTATGGTGTTGTCGAGGCAAGTCTTGCTGGTTCTGGTCGCATATGGTTCTTGGATGTTGTCTTTCACTTTGCATTTCTCCCCCCCCCCCCCTTTCTTATAGTTGCTAAGTGCGGGGTGAATACCACAAGTCTTACCATTTAGGAAGTCTGGTATTTTACGAACATGTAGGACGCATTGGCTATCTTGATTCTTGATATGGGTGATCTCATGGGGTATGGTATGTCCAAATGCTAACTCAACTCGATATCCCCCCACCCTCCCACTTATCAATGAATGTACAATTCGTAAGTCTCGTGATTTTTCCCGCCCAGCGGCTCTATAGTGATTGATCATCATTCTTTTCTGTTCCGAATTCTCGCATATGCAAATGGGTCGGATCTCTCAAGGCAGAATATTCGGATCCGGGTAGGCATCCCAGTTCGTGGTCAGAAGCTGCGCCCACTGGGCCTCGCTGAGGCCGTCCAGACCGCCGGACATGCTGTTGTCCAGGGTGGAACCATCGAGCCCAGAGAATGCGAGGGCATTCACGTCCCACCGCGGGACCCCGGCGAAGACATCGGGATACCCAGCGCCAGCGTCGAGTGGGATCGCCGGATTGGCGAACATGAGGTTTGCTGCGGTTGAATTGGTGTTGCAGGCTGCCGCAGCCGAATCGAGGGAGCTGGCTGGGGTGGCGATGAAGCTGTTGTTGGCGAGTCCAGGCGGCTGCTGGGGACTGAGTCGCGTGTACGACGAGGTGGCGGAGGATGAGTGAACATCCGGGGAGAGCGAGTCGGTGCGCAGATCTACACTGCTGCTGCCGCCGCTGTAGTCGACCACCACGGGATGGCTCAGGTCTCGGTCGGGGGTGTGGATCTCGTCTCCGAACGCCGGGGGCTGCTGTTGGGTGCGATGTCTTTTGTGCCGGTGGGCTGCTGCTGCTGCTGCGTCACTCAGCGAGGGGTTGGCTTGGCGGACTTCGAGGCGGATCTGCTGCGCGACTGAAGAGGACCGGGAGCTGGAGCCGCAGCTTCCTTGCGATGCGTCGAAGGGGTCTGGGTCAGGCTGGACTCGTGTTTGGCTGACGTTCAGTAGAGATGAGTCGCTGGAGTAGCGTCTCTCGGTGAAAGCCTGAGGAAAGGAGGCCAATTAGCACTCAATGATCCTGTGAGATTTCAAGTAAAGGGATGGAGCTTACCGCGTCTCGCTGCAGACCCGCTCTCATGAAGCATGCTTTCTTCGACTGATTGAAGTCGGACAACACCGTACCTGCGGTATCGAGATCCAGCTGAAAGATAAACGATTCCGCAAGCGGGTTCTTGGTCTTCAGTAGGTGAAGTGCGGAGAAGACGAATTGTAAGGATGAACGGGCAGCCGAGTCGTCGGGCCGGAATTTCAGGTATTGTACAAAGACGCGTGCCGCAACGTAGACGCAAAAGGGTGTGAGGACATTCATCTGAAGATGCGTTAATGCCAAATAAGTTTGAATTCGAACTCGGACTCACCTTGCTGGGATCGACATGGCTGCTCAATCTCAAGATGTTCGAGATCTGCTCCGCAGCCAAGATACATCTTCTCTTGCTTTCGGTGGCAATGGGCCCTGGCATCTTGTTCTTTTCCGCTTTGAAGATGGCCGCCTGGTGGAGACAGATGGTGGCCGTGTGGATGGCCATGTTACAGAAGATGACGTTGGGGTCGGTTGTCCCGACGGATAATCGCAGATGAGAAGGCATGGTGAGAGAGAAATGGAGCAAAATGTTGTCATGGGACCTGTGCCGCTGCCAATAGACCCCATTGAGGTCGTGATCGTCATCGTGTGGATTAGGCCGATGAAGGTGGGCAAGGTTCTTGCCAAAGATGCTGGCCATGAAGGCCACACCCCCGAAAGCAGACAGGGTAGGCATGCCCTCTCCCGCGTGCGCAGCTTCTAGAGAAACTGTGTCTTGGGGCTGGTTCTTGAGAAAAGCCTCTTCAGAGGCTGGTAAGTTAGTCAAGACCTGTGGGGTCATGTCAGTCGATCGTTCTCTTTCAGCACACATACATTAGGTCGCAACTCACATCTCTGTCATCGAAAACGACAGGCCACCCAGTGCCAATGCTCGCAAACCGGTCGGCACAATACGCCATCCAGAACACCCGCCGTCGCTCCTCTTTTTCATTCCAGTCTTTTGCAGCAGTCAATGTTTGCTTCACATCGATACCTTCCCCATCGACCCGATTCAACCCTATCATGATAGCCAGCCTTGCGGCTTTCCCAGAACTCAACCACGCTCGAGGGAAGAACATCATCTTGAACTCGTAGGTACAGATGAGCACCCAAGCCTGACAGTGACCTAAAGACACCGCATGTTCCCCCAGCCCTTTCAGTTCGTCCGCCTCGGCGTATTTGCGGGCCCGCTCGTAGAATACCGAATGCAAGCTGGAGTATTTGTCGCTGATGGATGCCGCGTGACTCCACATAATATATTGCAAGCACAACGGGGGTCGTATGCTGGGGCCGAGGCTCATGGCCGCCAGTAGCCTGGGACGATGTAGTATGGGAATCCCAGGATGGATTTTCTCGAAGTATATCTCATTCCTGTTCGAAATAATGAGAAAGTGAACACGGAAGCAAAAGGCGATGTACTGCAAACATACAGCTCATCAATAATTTCTTGACTCGGAAGAGGCTCCTCCAGTCCAAGACTTATCATCTCCATGCCATAGTCCGGGGAGTTGGTCGGGCCAGCTTGCTGGAACGCCTGAGCGGGGAACGGGTCGGAGATTCGATCATGGTGTTGCTGAGACTCGCTCGATTCATTAATGATAGAAAGGATCTCGGAGATGTCGGTTGAGTGGTTTGTGACTGCGCCGGGGAAGCCACTCCCTTGGTCTAGTGGTGGATTTGTCTTCTGGTTCTTCAACAGGTTCTCGACTTGCGCTGCACGTGGGAAGTGGAATGTCAGTATGGGAGGGGCAGCTC